CGCCCTGTCGCGCTGGAGAGAGTACCACTGCTAGGGGGCGCGCTATAAAGAACGCGATGTCCGCGCCCAGCAAGTACGTAGGGGCGACCCAACTCAGCTCTTACTAATGGCAGGGTAGAGCAGGGTGTCGATTTTTTCGTACCTTACTTTGCAGCAGTAGTGTTCGCATATAAGTATACGGGGTGGTCGACATACCCCGCGGACAAATTTTTGTGTTGTACTGTACCGCATGCAGACGTGCAGGCGCACTGTCGAAATTTCTGTACCAAAAATACAGCAAAAGGACGGTTTGATTGTAAAAATGCTGTAGTGCCCATAAGACTCCATGTTAAAGGATACTGTACTTTGTACCTCAAAATACTGTACCTTACTCAGTACAATGCGATCAGGCAAGGACTTGACCAGTTCGTACTGTGGTTTTTTCTGAGATTGCGGTCTTGCCTACCGTTTTTCACCACGGCGCGTTATAGCACTTAGCCCACTGCGAGTAGGCAACGCGTTCTCACGGCTGCATGCTGCATTTACAGTACAGAATAAATACGAAACACTGCCCTCGGCATGTGGGCCACCCTGTATGTTTTGTTTTATTGTACAATGCGTTCTCTACACCTCGCGCGTTCCTTTAGACGACGTACCGGTGGGCACCGAATGAAAGAGGGTAAGATTAGAAGAAAAATAACGAGAGAGACAGACAGACACGGACACACAGAGAGAGGGAGAGAGGAATGGCGCATTAGAGAGGTGGGCACGTCGGTGATGATGAAAAGTCTGGACGACTCGTCACCGCGCACAAAAAGGGGGCGCGAGTCGGGGTCGGGTCGGGTCGGGTCGGATGGACAAAAAAGAGAAGAATAAAGAAAAAAAATAGGAGTAGAGAGGAGGACAGAAAGAAATGGAATATGGGAAGGAGGCATGATATTGCGTGGCGCCCGGCCCTACCGGCGGCAGCCCGGCGGCAGCCCGGCGGCAGCCCGGCCTATTCCAGAGCCACCTCCAGCAGACCCTCTCGCATTCGTGACACCTGTATCACGTCCAGCCCCAGCCGCCCTTTCATTTGCCTGTGTTGTGGCAACGCCTGCGCGCCGCTACCCCTCCCTGTGCCGCCCGCCTGTCGCCGGCCCACGAGTGCGACAGCAGCAGGAGCTCCTCTAGAGGGAGCGAGAGAGAGAGAGAGAGAGAGAGAGAGAGAGAGAGAGAGAGAGAGAGCTAATGCCCCCTGCCGGCGCGGTAATGGTTATCGTTATATTAGTGGCGCGCGGCGCGGAACGAGCGATTTTCGGCCGCAGCAACACAGAAGGGAATTACACGACCGTCTTTTCGCCGTTTTCTCCCTCATTTGCATGAATGGAACATATCGACGTGTAGCGCAGCCGAGCGCAGCGCAGGTGAGGCAGGCCGCCCGAGGTTTGTTATTTGTGGCGGCGAACACGACGCGCGGGCGGGGGCGGGTCGGTGGCGGGTGTACATTCCTAAACTACACACCGCGTGTACAACGTTACCGCGCTCTCAAAGTCCGCACCGAAAAGCCCAAAGCCCTCCTGGTTCTGCTTCAACAAAAGCGAGTTTGTTCCGTTCGCTTGGTTCCACCCGCGTGCACCGCTGTTCCGTTCGTAATGCAATAATGGCGCTGCCAGGCGGAGCCAGGCGGAGCCGGGCGGTGCCAGGGCGGAGCGCGGAGCGGTGAGCGGGCAGGGCGGGCAGGTGTGCGTTCCACAATAATAAAGAGAAAAACTTGGTCCAGACTTCCTCCTCTACCCTCTTACCCTCCCCCTCCCCACAAAGTGGGGCGGAGCGGGTATTAGGCGGGGCAGGGGATGAAAGAATTAAGTTTATCCTTCACAATGCCTGCCGGCGAGCCCGGCGGCCGCGCGGCCCGAACACTTGTGCGCCGCCCGCTGTTTGGCAACCCCCGGCCCGGCTGCCGCTCCCCCCTGCGGTGCCTCGTGCCCACGCTAGATCAAAACAATCCGATAAAAAAAATGCGTTTACCGTAGCAGGCGTATGTAACGGCCTTCTTTGTGGTCTTGGGGGCAAAACTCCGCGCTGCGGTGTCTGGCCTGCTCTTTTAAACGCGGATCTTCTTTCTCTCTTGTTGCAGATCATCGACGGCAACGCCAAGTCGGACCTGAGCAACCGGAAGGAGCCCGGCGAGTTCTGCGGCGAGTCGGAGCAGCCGCAGACGTTCATCTCGGAGACGAGCTTCGTGCGCCTGCTGTTCCACACCGACAACTTCACGGACCAGACGTACCTCAGCTTCGACAGCCGCGCCGAGGAGGCGTTCGAGGTGTACCTGCGCTACGGCCAGCACCCGGAGCTGTACCCCAACCGGCGGGGGCAGGTGCTCGCAGGGTGAGTGCTTACCCCCGGTGGCCCCGCTCCCAACCACGAGACCGACCTCGATTTGTGTTCAATGTAGCGGGACCGTGACTCTCTCTCTCTGGTTCGGTGACATGAAATGAAATGTGTGTGTCTCGGCGGCCTCGACTGCGACCCGCCGCGCCCCCGGCCTCCGCCCCGGCCTCGGCCCCCGACATTGCGATTGTGCCGCCCCAGGAGAGACTGGCCCGGGCGCGGCCGCCTATCGCGGTGTCATCTCATCCCAGCAGCCCCCGAGGCGGAAAGCTCTGAGACGTGTGTGTGTGTATTGTGTGTGTCGGCAGGACCTACTGCGAGCGGGTGTTCCGGGACTGCAAGCTGCAGACGTGCTACGTGCAGAGCCCCGCCTACCCAGGCGTGTACCCGCGCCACCTGCACTGCCGCTACCAGCTCAACACGCGCCTGCCCTTCATCAAGCTCTACATCGAGAACGAGGAGTTCAACATCGACGGCCACCGCTGCGAGAACATCATGACCTGCCCCATGAGGCCCATCTCCTCAGGTAAGGGCCGTTCCCTTGCGCCTCCTCTGCCTATTCTACTCCTCGAAGAAAGCGTGCCAAATAATGTAATAAGAAAATGGTTGTCTTTATCAGTTAGTTGGTTCAAGTTTGTCTTCTTTTCATTAGTCTGCCAATTGGCACAATGGAAGCGACACTCGTTGGCGGAGGTGGAAAGGGAGGGAGGGGGGTGCTGTTCAGGGCAGCCGTCGGCAGCCATCCGCAGCCCTGCCCTTTCCCTACCCCTTTCGCTGTCCTTGTTACTAGGCCTTTCGCGCAAGCTGCTGTTGCTATGCCATCTTTGGGAGGAAGAGAGGGAAGGGGGTAAGAGAGAAAAAAAAGAATAAACGAGCGAATTACCGCGTCACTACCGTAGTATTCCATTTTTCTTTTCGGGCGTTAATTAAAACTTTCTGCTAGAGTGGCCAGAGACGCCGACGTCCTCCTCCGCGCCACGAAGACGGGCTAGAAAGGGTGGCAACTAAGGAGCAAGAGAGAAAAGTGAGAGGAAAAATTAGAGACGTGGAAAAGAGACGGGACATGGCACTGAAACAATTGACGGAAGTTTACGACACTTTGCTGGTGACCTCCCCGCCCTGCTGGACGCCCTCCGCCCCTTTTCCCGCCCTCCCTTGCCCTCCATCCAGAACACTTCTATATTTACAACAGTTTTCTACCCTTTTTTTCACCAAATCACAATTTTTTGTCTTTACACATTTCAGGTTCCCAGAACTGCCCGTACGACTACATCCGGATATACGACGGCAAGAACGAGACGGCGCCGGTGATCGGCACATTCTGCGGGATGGGCAAGTTCCCCTACTCCATCATCGGCACCGGCGAGGACCTGTTCGTCGAGTTCGTGACCTCGCCAGCAGGTGAGGACACAACACTTGATACCGCACATCATGGGTCTCTTAGCGCGGCCACCACCCACGGGACGGCACTCACCGAAACGTCTTCAGCCAGGCGGAGTGCCTCTCTGGGCTGTGGTAGTGGTAGTAGTAACGCGGGAAAGTGGCGGCATTTGAAGGCGCATTTCGCATTCACCTGCCGCAGGCAGGCCAAGGGCGGGCCGAGGCCAGGGGAGTCGTGAGGGGAGGGGTAGGCGGGGGAGCATGGGGTTTTGTAAATCATGACAATATTTGAGAGGTGCTGCGGCGGCGGCGGCAGGGGCGCGGCGCCGTGGAGTCATCCTGTTAAGCACGTAGGCGAGGGAGGCAAGTGCCTCGCACTTCCCTCGCTCGCAGGCCTTCTGCCGGGGTGGAAGGGGGGGGGGCTGAGGACGAAAATGTGGCTGTGCATGATAATGGCGCGGCGGGGGCGCGGCGGGGGCGCTGCTCCACGAGCCGCTCGACGAGCTGCTCGACGACGCCGTCGTCGTCTTCTTGAGCCTCCGATTGAAAATTCATGCCCGTCTGCACGTACTTAGCAGCGGGGCCGTGCCGGGGCCGTGCCGGGCACGTGACCTCCCCGAGGTGCAGGCTCTGCGCCCCGCCCCGCCCCGCACCGCACCGCCGCGGCGCTGGGAGGCGCCAACGAGAATGATAGTGGTGTTGTCGCCCTGCGGGAGCGGCACGGGAGGGGGAGGGGGTCGTCAGCAATTCTTGTCGGGGTCTCCTTGCCAATTTGCGTATTAGCAGCGGGGCCCCGGCAGGGCCACGGGAGCCTCCTGACGCGGCCCTCTCTGCTCCGTGTTCCAGGCCCGCTGCTCAACACGGGCTTCCACTTCAACGTGGGCAACTGGCCCGGGCACGTGGAGCCGGCCGGTGAGCGGTCGGGCGCGTGCGACTGGAAGCTCACCAGCCGGGCGCTGTCCAAGTCGGGCGACTCGGAGGGCATCTTCCTGTCGGTGGCGCACTGGTACCCGCCGCACACGTCGTGCACCTACCTCATCCAGGGCGAGCCCAACCAGATCGTGCGCCTGTACTTCCCGAGCTTCCGCATCAACCGCATCGAGTCGCCCATCGAGCCGTGGCAGGGTGACTGCGGTGAGTCGCTCACGCTGTACGACGCGTCCTGGCCCGACGACTCGCGCATCATCAAGACCTTCTGCGACACGTTCAGCCGGGCCATGGAGAAGCACGACTTCGTGTCCACTGGGAACGCGCTGTTCGTGCGCTTCGAGTCCAAGACGGGGAGCTACTCAGGGTAAGTGCGCGCTCCAGTGTCGTAAGTTTCTTCTGTCTTTCGGCGGAAACGCGGGAGTACAACAGCACTCTGCCGACTCTGCTCCCCCAGGTCCTCTCTCTACTACTGGGCGCACTACGACTTCTTCAACAACACGCACTTCGGCGAGCCCGTGTCGGGCACGACGTGCGACGAGACATTCTGGTCGTGGCGCTCGCGCTCGGGCGTGCTGCGCTCGCCGCTCAACACGCTCATCTACAAGCAGGGCGCCACCACCACCGCCCCCGAGCGCTCGTCCACCGCGGCGGGCGCGCTCGTCATGGCCGCCCGGGCCGTGGCCGTGCAGCAGGCCGCCGACCAGCAGCTGGCGGCCGCCCTGCCGCCCAAGGACGTCAAGTGCACGTACCGCTTCGTGACGGACAAGCGGCTGTACGCCCGGGTCATCCTTAACATCCACTCCATCAACTTCAAGGTGAGCGGTCCCTGCGGCCTGCGGCCCCCGTGTAATTCGGAGCTTCCCTCCGGCCGTACTCTTTGCGTGGGGAGATGTCCCCTCCGCACGGCCAGCCCCGGGGGCCCTCTGGTCCGGCGGTACACCCCCCGCGCCCCCGCCCCGCCTGCCGCAGCTCCACTTTATTGCTGTTGTTGAGTCGACTTTCCTCTCGTCTGTCTCTTTCTCTAACTAACACCGCCCCCGCTCTCCCCTCTGCTCTGCCCCTGCCCCGCCCCCAGAGCCCGCCGTACAGCTCGGCGACTTGTGGGGAGTGCTGGTCCGACAGGGTGGACAAGTTGCTCGCCTGGGAGCCGCAGCCCAACGCCACCGGCCCCTCGGAGCCGCCCACCAACAGCAGTGGAGGGGCGGTGTGCATCTGCAAGAACAACGCGTACGGTGAGTTCACTCTGCCTCTCTCGGAGGCGCGCCCGGCTAGTGCCTGCTCTCTCCTGTCAAATATACCCCACCCTACCACCAGGGTTTTCATTATTTTCTGGGCTCTCTGCCCCGGTACTACAAGCAGAACTTACCTACCCGGCTGCATCCGACTCAACAAACTTATTTTTCTTGGAAACTTTTCAAGTGAAGGGCTGTAGAAACTAAGCAGCGTTGTGTTCAGACTCGATGTGTTTTCTTGTTGGCAGGTGCAATAATGGGTACGTAGCCTTTCCAACATCATCCACACCAACAACAACAACAGCCTTCTCTCTTTCTCGTGCCGGTCACTCTCCACTTCACGCTACACGACCTCAGTCTGCTGTCTCGGTCACTTTGTACCATTTAACTCGTAGACTCATAGCCATAGCAACACTGGGGGGCTCAGGGTTCAGTAGAGGAGGCCTAACTTCTGGGCTGGAGATGCACTCTGTTGACGCTCCCCTCCTGCTGCAGGGGGCATCGGGCCGCTGCGCATGGTGTCGCAGGGCGAGGAGCTGGCGCTGCAGCTCATCGTGGACGGCGCGGGCGCCACCTCGTCGTACTTCAAGCACCCGGGCCCGCTGTTCGAGGCCCAGTACCAGTTCATCCACGGCCCGCTGTGCGGCCCCACGCTGCACCGGGCCTCCGAGGAGGGCGACTTCCTGTTCCCGCACCTGGAGGCGCTGGGGTACGCGGAGCCGCCCCGAGACATCCACTGCATCTGGGAGCTGCAGGTGCACCGCGGCCGCGACCTCTGGCTGCACTTCGAGAAGGTAAGACGCGCCTCTGCGCGCGACCCCGCGCCCGCGCGGCCTGTTGCTCGCGGCGAGTGGCTCTGAGGCGCGGGGTAGCGCCGCGCCCGCCTCTGACGGACTTCACTTCCCACAGGTCAAGTTTCCGTCGCGCAACTGCTCCGACGGCAAGATCGAGGCGTACCTGCCCGGCAGGGTCCAGCCTTTCCTCACGGTGTGCGGCGAGAACGAGACTGCGCTCCGCACGCTGCCCATACTCAGCTCCAAGGAGCTCAACGTGTCGCCGGAGCACGAGCCCTCCGTCACCATCCACTTCACCGCGGCCACCACGCCCGCGCGGACCGCCTTCAAGATCGAGTGGACGCAGCTGCACCATCTGCCGAGAAACTCGGACGGCATCCTCATGACGTCCAAGCTGGTGGAGCAGCGGCAGGAGCCGCAGCAGGCGCAGCAGGCGCAGCAGGCGCAGCAGGCGCAACAGCAAGACCAGGGTGCGTCCGTCTTGTACAGTAGCCGTAGCCGACGAGCCGACGTCCACCACACTCAGTAGACTTGCGCTGCCTTTTTCTTGAATTTTCATCAAAGGTAACTGATGTTTATTTTTTATGATTTGGCATGGTTTTTGTCATTTTGGTTGCGAAACGCATTTTGCCCCACCTGTTTGAATTGCACGTTGGTGCCATTTGGAATTTCCTGCATCGCTTCAATCGCTCCGCGAGGTTTCTTTCGGGTTGTGCATTGTGTAGCATGGCGAGGAGGTGATCACACTTGTGTTTAAATGAAGTTTACCCACCGTCGCACTGCTCGACTGCCTCACTGACCGCGAGTCTGACATGTGCCAGGTGGTGCCGCAGTGGCGCGGCCCGACCCGGACCAAGACGATTATGACGACGATGAGGATGACGAGGAGCCCCTGCCGCCCTCGACGCCTGCCCCGACGCCGGAGCCGGAGCCGGACTCGTGCGGCTTCCTTTGCCCCGGCGACTCCGGATTGTGCATCGCGGCTAGCTTGGTGTGCAACGGCGTGGTGAACTGTCCCAACGTGACGGCGCTCGAGTCGGCCGCGGCTGGCCTGGACGTCGCGGACCTGCCGTCGCTGCCCCCGGGCGCGTTCGGCGCGGGGGCGGGCGGCGACGAGGACCCCGAGACGTGCGCGCGCCCGGCCTCGGCCGCGCTCTCCATGGCGGCCTTCGTGTGCGGCGTGGCGGCGGGCGCCGCGCTGGCGCTCGTGTGCGGCGGGCTGGCGTGCTGGGCGTGCCGGTCCTGCAAGCGCGACCCGCTCGACGACATCGGCTCCGTGCCCTTCTAGCCCCACGCCCGCGGCCACGCCGCCGCCTCCACGTCGTTTGGGCTCGGACACCCGGGCTGCAGCTGCGGCAGCTGTCCGCAGCAGCTGTGAGGCGTGCACGTGTGCCGCGGAGCGTGGCCCGCCCGCGCCGGCCAGCGCGCCCGTGCAGGACAGTACCGGCGCGGCGGCGCGGCCAGGCCCAGGGCGCGCGGACGCCGGTTTAACTGGGCCTGGGCCGGTCAGCGACCTCGCGCTGCGCCGCGCCGCGCCGTGCCCGGCGCCGCGTACGATTCGACCGCACCTCGGGGCCCGTGCGCTAACTGGGGCCAGGGGATCGGGGGCGGCGGCGTCGCCGCGCAAGTTGGACAGAGACAGGAGTGTGAGTGTGAGCGTGTTGTTTGAAGCAGCGAGTAAGAGTGCGCCTCTGTGCGCAACTTGTTAACACTGCGGGCCTGCGACAGGCCCGATGTGGCGTAGGTCAGGGTGTCGTGACTGCGAGAAGACAAAATGCCAGTGGGCGAGGCGTCGCGAAGAGTGGCGATGACGCCTCGCGACCAGGACGTGGTGCAGTTGTACTGCGTGTTTTTATTATTTTTGTGTGAAAAAGAGAGTGAGGGAAAGCGGTGGTCAAAGCGTTTACGATAGGAGAACTTATTTTTGTACTCGTCAATGTTTTTCCCTCTCACCTTGTCTTATAGGTGTCTATCTCCTGGTGAGGTAACACTCTTCATTGGTTTTGTACAGTTATGTGACTATATTTAAATGTTAGGACCAGTCTGGTCCTTATTGTAAACTGCTCCCTGTGTACCATCTTCCTCCCTTTCCTCTCCTATATCAAGATGATTATGACTTGGGGCAGGATTTCTTAATGTTGTGATTGAATCCTATTTATTTTAAATATGTTTTGTTTTTTTAAACAAATATACGAGACATTAAGAAAATTGCATTTTATTTTTCTGGGTTACATTTTTTAAATAAGTTCTTCCATTCAGGAATAAGTCTGATACCTGATTGTGTCATTAAGATAAGATTTAGCCATATTTCCGACGATCAGTCATCTGTTTTGCTTTCTGATGATTGACAATTCATGTTGCTTATAATTGTATTTTTTTTTATGTTGAATGTTAGAGCGCTGATCCATCCTACCTTGGTGACTGTGTTCAATGTAATGCTACAATTACTTTTGGACACCAAATTTGTGGTTTAATGGGACTGTGCAAAGACCAGATAACGCTCTGGCTATTTTCTCTTAATTGAGACAAATACAGCGCGGGATACTTGCCTATTTATTGTTATAACTAGGCCGCATCGGGTGATCAATTTTAGTGTTGTTTTATTTATTGAGAGACAAAGTGTGCGCGCGTGTGAGTACGAATGCTTTTGTATGTGTGCGAACAGAGTATGTGTTAATTTTAAATACGAATTAAATGCTGGGTTTTCAATAATTCCGTTTCATATGCATGTGTCGTCAATATCGTCCTTTCGAAAATACTGCGTTTATTATAGACGCCACAAATATTACGGCGTCAGAGAGAACCTAGACCCCCTCTCCCCCTCCCTTTCCCAAGTTTTCTGCCCCGGCCCGGCCCGCGCCCTTCCGGTGGGGTCCGACAGCGACACACCCTAGGCCTGCCTGTGCGCAGGGCCGCGCCGGCCCGGGTCACCGGCAGTGCAGGCGGCGCATCCGCGCGGTGGCGGGCAGTGTGCGCCTCTCTCCCTCTCTGTCCATCTCTTTCCTACCGGGCCGAAGGCCCCGTATGAGGGAGCGAGACGGGCGAGAGTGACAGCGGTGCTCTCTCGGTGACGGCCCCACCGTCCGGAGGGCAATTGAGAGCACACCGTGCACGCCCCCTGCTCCCCTCCGACAGGAAGTGCCCATGCATGCACGTTGCACGTGCCCACGTGACCCCGGGAGAAGAGCACATACATAGCCCGTGTCTGCCCCGCGGACACCGCTGACGTGAGCTGGCTCTGGCGCCCTCGACCTGGCGCTAATCGGAAATCATTCCGCAGAGTTCTGCGCTTTGTCGCCTCCCTTATCTTTAAAGCTCGGCATTGCGGCCGGGCTCCCCAGGGGCTCGCGGTCCAGGAGGGCCGAGCCGGGCGGGGCAGGGCGCGGCGCGCAGCGGTGACGCGGAGGGCAGCAGCCGCGAACCGAGAGGTAAAAACGCAGCATCTCGGCCGTCCCCGCTGAGCCTCTCCCGGCCCTGCCATCCCAACATGTTAACACTAGTGTTTCTCGAAACCCCGCCAAAGTCCACATTCAGCGAGCGAGAGGATGCATCATAGCCCGCTTGGGAGCGGAACAGAGATGCCGACTGTGTACCTTTCTGGTATTGATGGCTCAATGGGCCCCAAGCGCGGCCCCAGGGCGTCGCATCGCGTCTCGCGGAGGGGGGGCCGGCCGCCGGTCTGGAGCGCCGCGCCGCCGCCGACGCCGTGCTACGCTGCGCTGGTCTGCCCGCACGGCTCGACTCGGCACGACTCGACTCTCAGTGCGGCCCCGGCAGGCCCGTGTCATGGACGCATGGTCGACCATGAGTGCCAGCAGCAGCAGCGAACGAAACAACGAGAGTACAGTCGCCGCATACAGAGTCAGGTAAGGAGCTTGTTAGTAGTGTGCAATTTGTCTGGTCTGAACGTGTTCGTGTAATGTGTGACGGAGAGCCCGTACAGCTGTGTCTGCCTGTGTTGTGACGTGAGTAAGGCGTAGTGCGACGGAGCGACGGAGCGACGGTGTCTCGATGCTGCGCCTCATTGTTTGGTGATAGCTGTGAGCTCATGCCCGCCGCACGACTGCTTTGGAGAATGAGACAGCGGGCAAATACAGACTCAAAGTTGTTTTGCCATCACCCTGACGTTTCAAGAGGCGCCTGTGTTTTGGGCTCGTGCGTGAACGGGCGCACCTTCGCAGCCTGGCGGCTGCCTGGCCCAAAGTGTTTCCTCACTTCCAGCTCTCGGAGGTCGAGGTTGGAAACGGCCCGCAGAACCACTCGCTTTGCGTCGCCCCGACCCACTCCCTCTCTCTCCGCGCCAACCACGCCAAACAGCTGACTGTCGGTCGCCGTCGCAGTCCGCGGCGCTCGCGGTATCGCCGTCGCGCCCGCCGATACTCCCACCGACTCTGTAGATACTCCGACCGCGAGCTAACGCCCCTGTCGTGTGTTCCTCCGCAGGAGTAGGAGCGGCCGGCCATGGCCTCGGGGGCGGCCGGGGCGGCGGGGGCGTTCCTAGCGGCCACGATGGCGGCGCTCAACTCCAACTCGGCCTCGGCCAGAGCGGCGGGGGACAAGGCGTTCCTGGAGCAGCTGTACAAGGAGCTGGAGTCGCCCTTCGTGTGGGGGCTCCTGCCCAGCCTCGGCTCGCACCGCTCCGACTCGAGCCGCTGGGACTGCCACATCCGGAGGCTCGCCGATGTCCTGCAGGTTGCCGACAGCCCCTGGACCAGGGTCGTGCTCCACCTCAACCTCAGCTGGCTCTTCTTCAAGGTGAGTGCATTTGTGGCCGTTGGCCGCGGTGGCCCGGTGGGCTCACGACCTCGCTCACGGCCCCCTCGCCCACCAGCGCGGCGACAACCGGACGAGCCGCTCCCACCTGGCCGAGGCGGACGCGGTGCTGGGCATGGCGCAGTGGAGCGGCGCCGAGGCCGGGCTGCTGCTGCGCGGCGAGGAGGCTGCCCGCCACGCGCTGGGCGCCGCCTGGGCGCACCTGGCGCACGTCTGCACGCCGCTCGCCGACATGCAGCCCGAGCTCGTGGACATCACTCCGGTGCGCCGCCTGGGCCCCGGTCAGCGCGCCGCCCTCTACGGCCTGCAGGCGTCGTGTCTCTACTTCCTGTGCGGTGAGTGACGACCCGGTGACGCTGCGCCCCTCGGCCTCTTGTTCACCATGGCCCACGGCCTCAGTTCCACTGACGCTCTCTGTCACAGTCCAGGGCGAGAAGATGGGGAAGAAGATGGTGTCGGCGGCGCGCAAGGCGAGCGGCCTGCAGCCCGAGGAGGGCGAGTGGCTGCTGCTCATGGGCAAGCGGCCCGACGCCGCGGCCGCCGGGCTGGAGGGGGACGCCATGACGCCGCACGCCGCCGTGTACACCGCCACCCGCCACGTCTACTGCGGCGAGTGGCTGGCCGCGCGCGTCCTGCTGCGGAGGGCGCTGGACCTGTGGCCGGCCAACGTGTACGTGCAGGCGTACGTGGCGTACCTGTACGCCGGCTGGGTGCAGGAGCAGCTGCCGCCCGCGGCCGCGCACGAGCGCGTGGCCGAGCGCTGCTCCGTGGAGGCCGTGCGCCTCGCCCCCGGCTGCGTGCTGGTGCACGCCGTGCGCCGCCTCGTGCGGCCCGAGCACAACTCGCCCTGCCTGAGCCGCTGCTCCAAGGTGTACGGCATGGGCGTGGACGAGATGGTCACCAAGTGAGTCTACGCTAACGTCACACGTCGACCTGTGCGACCTCGCGGTTGGACGTCGGTATCTCTAATGCACTTGCGCCCAGAGGCGAACACCGTCACGTCCAAGCCCGACACGTCGCTTGCATCCTTTCCGTATTGCTTACTCACCTCTTTGAATTGAAGGACTCGCTTTTATTCTGCCCATCGCACTCACCGCACCGTTTCCGTGTTGCAGAATGCGCGGGTCGTGTTTCGTCCTCGAGGGCATCATGTGCGGGTTTGTCAGCGGTCACAAGGAGAAGCGAGTGTGATGGGGTGCCATCCGCCTCCACGGGCACTGCTACGTTTACGTGTATTACTTCGTGATATTATTAATGTAGACCACAACTATTCAAAGCACAGCTGTTATTTCTATTTTATTATGTTTTTTGTACGTGCATACACTATTTACGACGGAAAAGTTTCTAGTGAATTCCTGTTGTTACGATAAATAAATCCTGCTGGGCGTAACGCCCGAAGGTCGCTGCCCTTATTGGTTCGTTCATTAGCCTACCCGAGGCGTGCGGTGCCGGACGGCGGTGGGGCGCGCCGCGCCGCTGAATACCAATGCGGCTTGTCAAACAGCTCTACATTGTGGAGCACAATCCACGGTCTCTTACGTACAATTTTATTTTGAAAACTATTTATTGTTATTTTCCAAAGGGAGACAGAGACATTTTAGGGCGGCGTTCACTCAGCGCCTCGTGGCTATGGAAGCTGGCATCCAGCCCGCCGACCTTGCCACTAGAGTGACCCCCGCCGCGATCGCGATGACCCTCTGGTCTCGGCCAGTCCGCTGACCAAGAACACACACGAACGAACGAACCACGGCACACATTGACAACCTGTCGGACTTAGCGCCTGCGAACCGGCGGTAGGCAACGCCGTCACACGAATGAAATGCGGGCTTGCCTACGCACAGGCGTCTGCCTATAGACGATCTGACCTGACCCAGCCGCTGAGGTCAACGTGGCAACGCCGCATCCCCTAGCATTCCAAGCTCAAAACTAAGGGATCGGACCTCGGACTAGAACTTAAATCGTAAAAATTATTAACAACAAGTAAATTGACGTTTTTTTTAAACTTTACGTCCTCTACGCGGGTGTACGGCCACTCGAGCAGAAAACTTTACACCGTTGCCACATTCAATTCAGCAGCTGGGTCAGATCGTCTTTTCAGTTCTGAAAGGGACCTACTAGGTTAAAGTACGGCTAAGACGTTCGGAAGTTAACACATCAACTGAATCAACTGAAACTTGGGTAGGACGTCAGTCCGTGACCGGAGCCCGTGCGCCCCGAGCCCCGAGCTAGTGCTGGTACGAGTCAGTGTTTTCTCGGTAAACAGAAAAAATGAATTAAATTATAATGACTTGAACTGTATCAAACGAGAGTAAATATCTATTAATTTTACAAAACTCAAAGAAATTTGTTTAAGTTAAGCCTCAGGACAGGAACGAATTTTCGTTTGTTGGCATTTTATGTGTTTACTTGCAGTGCATTGACGTCCAGAGCCAAGTAGATTCAGTAAGGCAGGGTGAGTGGATAGTCCGTCGATTGGCCAACGACCAGGTGACACGATGCACTTGAAATACCTAATGTAGCTGGTCGATGCAGCAGGGTCAGGGGGTCGGAGAGGTAGGGCAGGGCCGTAACGATCGACGACTAGACAAGATGAGGATGATCACGGCTAGAGTGAGTGATTAGCCGTGTCCAGTCCGATACCCGAGTGGCGTCCTCAGGTAAGTTCTTGTTCATTTAGAAAACAACCTTAAGCTATTAATTATTAATCTTGTGCGTGCTTGTAAATTTGTGCAAAAGGCGTCTATTTAACTGGATCGTTCGGTCCTTGTCATCCTCGGGTACGACATGAGGCCGGACAGAATGCGATGATGCTTCCGTGGCCTTGTGGACGTGGCGTCGCGTCGGTCCACATCCCATTATCCCAGTGCGCTTGCCGAATGAGCTCTGCGCCCTTCTCGCCCACCATGATGGAAGGCCCGTTGGTGTTGCCGCTGGGCAGGTCGGGCATGACCGAGGCATCCACGACGCGCAGGCCGTCGACGCCGTGCACGTGCAGCTGCGCGTCGACCACCGAGGCGGCCGCGTCCGGGCCCATGCGGCACGTGCCCGTCAGGTGGCCCCAGGTCTGCGCGCCCCGCCGCCCCGCGCACCCCCAGTACGCGTCCGAGTTGGGCGCGGCGGTGCAGCCCGGCAGCGGCGGCGCGTCCAAGACGATCCCCGCCTCCCGGAAGGACGCGGTGTCGTTGAGGCTGGCGGCGACGCGGAAGCCCTCCACCCAAGTGCGCTCCTCGTCCTCGTCCAGAGAGATGTTGAGGTACAAGAGCGGCAGCGAGCGCGGCGACGTCGTGTTTAGGCGCACCTGCGGCGAGACGTTCACAGAGGACACCCATGTTTTATTCTGGACACCCGTCGTTCACCCGCCCGCGCCTACCTGTCCGCTGTAGCGCGGGTGCAGCAGCACGGGGCTGATACGGATCTGGTCGTACCACACCGAGTCCTCCCCCGGAGCGGTGCAGTTGGCGGCGGCCCCACGCCGCTTCATGAGCTGCCCGATGACCTCTAGGTGGATGAGGGGCCGCCGGCCCGACGTGCCGTCCTGCTGCTTGGTCCGGAAGAAGGCGGCGACCTGTCGGACCCCGGTGGCCGACAGCGGGCCGTGGCCGCCGTCCAGGTAGCGGGCGTAGGCTGCCAGGCGCTGCTGCAGCGTGTCCGAGCGCTCTGTGGCCGTCCTGCAGGAGCCGCTGGAGCGTGAGCGCGCGAAAAACGACAGGAAATGACCGCCAACCGCCGCCAACGTGCTCGATTGCAGTCGCCACTCACTTTGTGACGGTGAAGTTGACGGTGAGCATCGTCGTGAGGTGGTCCTTGAGGTTTTGCCCTACTGCGGGCAGGTCGTGGATTGGCGCAATACCCGCCTCCTCCAGGTGTTCGCGTGGGCCGATGCCGGACAACATAAGGATCTAAAAAGTAGTATTGAGAAATAGCACTAACTGGCTGAGAAACCCCAACCATTTTCGTAGTTTTACAGTACCACAGACACACTTCGCGTCATATGGTTAGAAACGAGAGGCAAACCGTCAGCGAGACAGTGTAAACATCAAAATTTTGTATTTTTTTTTCTTTGGTAATCCACTTGCCATAACCTGCGTCGCCTCGCCGCCCTCCTCACCTGTGGGGACTGCAGCGCGCCCGCCGAGACGATGACCTCGCGGCGCGCGAGCGCGACCCTGGGGCCGTGCGGGCCGTCGTACTCGACGCCGACGGCGCGCTTATTCGAGTCCAGGAGCACGCGCCTCACGGGGGACAGCGGTCGCACCACCAGGTTGGGTCGCTTGCGGCGTACGGGGGCGATGAAGGCCCTGTTGGTAGATGAGAGATGAGAGTTGCACCCTGGACGCGCTCGCCCCGCCCTGCCTCGCCCTGCCCCGCCTCGCCCTGCCACGCCTCGCCCCGCCCCACCTTGCCCCGCCTCGCCCCGCCTCGTTCCCCCCAGCCCCGCCCCACCCCGCTTACTGGTTGGAGCTGCGGCGGTGGCCATCTCTCTGCGTGAACTGCAGCAACGTGGCGCCGCTCTGCTCGCGCCCGGTGTGGTCCGCGTTGAACGGGAGACCGGCTTGCTCCATGGCCTCGAGGACGACGGGCACGTTCTCGTCCCGGTACGGGAAGTGCGACACGTCCAGAGGGCCGCCGCGGCCGTGCAGGTCTGCGTCCACCTCGTCGTGGTTGTTCTCAGACTTCTTGAAGAAGGGAAGCACGTCGCGATAGGCCCAGCCCGGGTTGCCCATCCGTTCCCAGCTGTCGTAGTCCTCGGGGTGGCCGCGGGAGTAGAGCATGCCGTTAATGGCGGACGAGCCGCCAAGCGTGCGTCCCCGGGGGACGTACTGGCCGGGGTCCCAGCCGCTAGCCTGCGTGCGGAACTGCCAGTCGACGTCCGTGTGTAGGAAGAGCCTGGCGGCGGACAGGTCCGGTTTGACGCGTAAGTCGCAAAGCGCTCCCTAGAGTCCACCGATCTCGCTTCCGCGCTCACCTGTTGAAGGCGGGCACCTCGGTGAGGGCCGGCTCCTCTGGGCCCGCCTCCAGCAGCAGGACGCGCCACGCCGGGTTCTCGGACAACCTGCTTGCCACCACGCAGCCGGCCGACCCACCGCCCACCACGATAAAGTCGAAGTCCTTAGGCGCGTCGGGTGAGTCCTTCACGTCGTCCCTCTGCCGTTCCCCGTCATGCCTGTAACCAAGCACCCTCTTATGTAACTTTCGTAATTTTTAATATTTTTTTGTGTGTGTCCGGCTTGCGCATACTCCATAGCGCGCCCGCTTCCGCCAACTGGGCTTGCCTAAACAAACGCCAGCCGCGTGCGGCAGCTCCTGACGTGGCACCGCGCGAGAATAGGCAACCCGGTACAGTCCGCGATGTAAACCGCAGTGCGCGCGGCATGCAATGAAAGTTAAGTAGTGGGTGAGGTTAATCTCATTCCCTGTACAGCTGCGTGCCTGCCCCGTCTAGCCTGAGAGTCTAATCACAAATGACGTTCACACTTACCTCTTACAGACCCCCCCCCCTCCCCTCATCCATTATCATTACATTTTGTCACACTTTTCCTTAACCCGCTCCCCTTCCCTGGTAAAGATGCGTGACGTCATTGGTGAAAGGCAGGCCATGCCACCCCTCGCCGTCATTTTATTTCGCGACTTCGTGCTCCTGTTTTAAGATACTGCAATGGCAATGGGATGGCACATCGAAAAAACAAAAAACAAAACAAAAAAAACACCCACGAACTGACGACGGTTTCCCTTGTTCAGGCGGTCGCTGGTGACCTACCGCAAGGAGGACAGCAGCAGTGTGGTGAAGAGGGAGGCTGGCGTGCAGGCCGGCGACTGCGCTACGGGGCAGGCCCTCTCCATGGTGTGGCGGGTCGCGGTCGCGGTCACTAGACACTGGAGGAACTCCACTACACACCCTGGTGCTCCACGGTACCTATATACCGCAGTAGTCACTCACGTCACACCTGCTCAAGTTCTTGGAATTGCTAGGTGACTCCCGCACCAGCACCAGGACGCCGACCAGAGATACACCAAGGACCAAGGCCGAGTCGAGGGGACAGAGCGAGTAGACGGCACGCACGTCTTCGCTCCAGGTGGCGGCCGGTCCGGGAACTTTGACGGCGGAAAGCGAACAGTCGGTGTGTTAGCGCGAAGCCTTTTCGGCATCTATTTTCAAGCGAGTGAGTAGAACAAAATACTGCCCCCATTTCGCAAAGAGCTTCCCGCGGTGAGGGCATCCGGCCTTGGCCAATCAACCATTTTATCCCCATCCGTTTCTGTGTTAGTGGTGCAACAAAACGTTTACGATCAACGATAATGAAATGGCAAACGACGCAGCTAAAATGTTCCGCTGGGGACCCGGACGCACTTATGGTAGCAGTGTAGAGCGTATCTCTTCGTTAGAGCGTGTTGCGGCAGATACCCTGCACCCGTGTTATGCGCTATTTCCTGCCCGGGTTTTACTCGACAGACTTTTGCATATCGGAGCAAAATCAGTCCGGCTTCGTGGAACCTGAGGCGTGCATGAAGTAAGGACTGAGTAGAGGCGCGGGCGCGCTTCAATGAGCGTTTGTCCGTGTGCGAGAGATCTGAGCAGCGCGCCCCTCCGGCTGTAGTGCCAACTGCTCGGGGTATAGCGACTTGAGCCCGCCTGAGGTCGAGCCCGGGGACTTGAGCACGGACATGAGCCCGGACAGGAGTCCGGATTGCAAATGTTTTGAACCGCCCAGCGGCTCGGGCTCAAGTTTTTCGCAATATCCAGGCTCGTGTCCGGGACTTAAGCCCGAGCAGTTGGGCGGGTTCAAAACATTTGCATTCCGGGCTGTCCGGGCTCATGACGTCGGGCTCAACCTCACAGTCAGGCGGGCTCAAGTCGCTATACCCACTGCTCGGGCTGCTCGGAGCCGAACGCAGCACGACCCATATATAGGGACACTGCCTTTTCTGACTGACGCAGGCCGCGGCCGCGCTGCTCGGTGCTGACCACCTGCCAGGTGAGAAGTGTCTCCCCTTTTCACCTCTCACCTGGCAGGCGGTCAGCGCAGACCAAGAGGGCGGCCCCCTGTGTCGCTCGGTCAGAAAGGGCGATTTTACAGCTCTGCCGTCCAGGTCGTCTGCTGCGCCTTGACGTTTGCGTACAAGAGATCAGTTTTACCAGTGGATTTTAATGGCAAGTGATGTAATACCATGGCAATTTTCGTTTTCAAATCATTAATGAGCTTTAAGAAGTTAAAATAAAAGACTTAGCAAGAAATCCATCAGCCCGATCCCTTTTAAATTTAGTCAGCATCCCTTTCAAAAATAAATTTATGGTTAATACGAAATTCTCTCATTATGTTCCATTCCAGATCTCGGTCAATTGTGTATTATTTTTTCGGTAGGGGGGGGGGGGCGAAAGGGGCAGTAGCACACATGTTTTGTGAATTCTAGTAAGGCATATATTTAGCACCACTTAAATCACTGATGAAAAAATATATATGTATGGTTACCAAAAGTAGAAACTGTTCAACAATCAACCTCATACTTTAATGAATAGAAACAAAACTCGCCAGTACGTACCAAGTTATTGTTTAATACGTCATAGACATCCTGAGTTTTATCTTTTTAAATACGGATTTGACGGTGACAGTAAACTCAGTGTAGTAATGTCTTACCTACAGACTCACCATTCGTACCCGTGTGTGTGTGTGGGGTAGAGATTCGATTACATCAGACGGTTGAAGGTCCGGCGAGCAGTGTGTGTAGCATGTGTGTGTGTGTGGGGGGGGGGGGGCACTGTAGGTTGCGTACATGTACAAGAGTTTTCTGTCGCACAAATTGACTACTTGCTAGGAGGGGTAGGAGGCAGACAATGACGTCAGCGTGGCGAAAGCGGAAGCGGAAGAAATGAGGGCGCAGGAAGAAATCAGATCGGACAGTCATCGTTTCTTCTTTGGGTTTCGCCGAGATTCCACTTGTCTGCGTGGAATACCTTATATCCCTTTGGCTTAATTTGAATCACTAAATAGACATCAGTTGTTGTTCAACTACGACAAGATAGCCGTGGAACCATGGTCACTTGAAACCAGTAGCAATATTGGGATCTGTAAGTAGGGGTCAACAGAGATGTTCTCTAAAAAAAAAAAAGCGCACACGATAAAATATTATGAACTTTGTTATTCACTGCTTACTGGTTTCTGTGTGCGTTCTACGCTTAGGCATCTGTTAATGCGCCAGGGAAAAGAAATTCCTTCATACTGGAGTATTTAAAAAAAATGCGCAAGCGCAGCACGCTCACCGAATTCTGTCAGTTATGAATACAAACGTCCACAGGATTTTAGTGTGCACCTGACCTATATAAGCAGAATGTGTTCAAGCAGTTTGTTGTTATTTTTTGCTCTGCGGTCCTGATAGGACTGATGATGCACATCCACATCGCCGGCGGCGGCAGCCCGTCGTACCTGTCATTGCGCACGTCATCGCACCTCTTGCCGCCGGCGCGGGGTTCATAGGTCCCACCTAAATCGCATATATTGACGGGCTTCACTAAAGTCCACTCGCAGTGTCCGCAGGCAAAAGAGACCAAGTGCTAATTCAGCAAAACAATTCGACTGTGGCCACAGTAAAAGGCAAGGTGAAAGTGTGGAAAACGTACCCACAGCATTTCCTGTCTTCTACTATATTTTTTTTCACAATCCCTGCATTTTTTTTTACAGTTGCAAAGTAAGCAGCCAGAATACGTTGTGAGGCGTCGTCTTTTTCCTAGCAGAGACATGTTCTGTATGAGACTCACACACAGGAGTGCGTTACTAGTTCGAGTACTCTTCTACGGGCGGCTAGCAGCGGGGAGCTTCACGCATCTGGGCGAACAAAAGGGCAGGCGGCGGCGATGTGGCACGTGACCCGTGTGAACCATACCTGCGCCCCTCGCTAAACGACGCCCCGTGTCCCCTCCAACGAGCCCCCTCCACGCCCCTGCCGTTCCCGGCCGAAGACTGCGCTGCGCAGCGCGTCACAGTCAATCTGGTCGCCGGGGTGCCAGGCCGCCCCAATAGTGATTAAGAAGTAGCCCGGGTAGGACCTGAAGGCCGCGGCACCAACTTTCCGCCCGGCTCGGTGTCCTGACCGAAATAAGCCTTCCGACGTCTCAGTTCGCCACAGCACCCGGCTTGGATCCAGGATACACGCACTTCTTAATCAATACAGGTGAGCATAATTATCGAATTTTATTGACTGGTCAGCTTTGGTTACACAATTTGTGACTTAATGCAGATGTTTAACTTTAGTTATTTACCTGCCATGATATTGTACTTCTATTTAAAAGATTGATGTGTTTTGTGCTCGTTATGCCCTTATGATTCGGAACCCGAAGTAGGTTGTGCGCTTAAAGAACTGTAAGAATTAGATTGCCATTTGATTAACACTATCGACACAGAACTGGCAAATATACCTTTTTATTTTGTTGAAAACCTTCTTTTTGTAGTGGTGACGGAGTAGGAAGAGGGGGTGGGGGCATTAGCAGGGCGGAAAGGGACGAATGAACAACTGGAATTCTGATGAACACATTAGCACAAAAATGTACTAGCCGGACTGTTCGAATCAAGCTAAAAGTAGGGTAACGAAGTAGGAGGGATTCATGGAGTTTAATCGGAAAGAGAAGTAGTACGGTACTTGGAGTACAGAGTACAATCTATGTACATTCGAAGTACATAGGCTAGAAGTGTTCTTGAAAAGTTTGCGTTCTGTCATAATCCACAATAGCACTCTATTTTACCATCCGTCGGTCGGAAGCTTATTGCAATGTTTCGAGGTTGAATAGAAAATGTTACTTACAACCGACAGACAAAATTCTGTGAGCCGTGTATTTGGTCAGACGTGCTTTTCGACTTCCTCATCAAAACACAATGAAACACCCCGGGTCAATTCCGACGGGTAGAGACACCCGAATATCCGCCGATAGAGTCCGTTCACCGGGGGCAGCCCGGCGAGCGGCCCGGCTAATGCATGTAGATGGATGCGGTACCGCGGCGGCCTAATCAGTTTAGCCCTGCCGCCCACGTCGTGCAAAGGGCAACGGCATGTGCTAATTAATAACAGGAAGGGATCCCTGCCCTGCCTCCATGTCTGACTCTGCTCCCCTGCGCTGTGTGCGTGCGAGCAAGGCGCGCGCTGTTCCTATATACGTGTTCGGGCCCTTTCTACAGAAGCAAAGCAAACTGGGTTAGATTTTGTTGGCCTTTGCCCACCCGACCTATCCCAACCCTTTTCCGCCGGGTCAGTTAGTTAGTCGCGGAGGAGGTCCGCTGGCGGGTAGGGTAACATGCGCACAGAGGCCCGGGCGGGTTGCACACAGGATACCGCCCAGCCCGTCAGAAAGACCTAACGCTAACACTTGACCTTAACAGACCTATGCACTGTACAGTCATCAAATCAAAGATTGTGTACTGTACCGAGTGTTTCGGTGCACGTGGGTGTGCGGGCGGGTTTGACTATTCACAGAGGCCATGGTGCCTGACGGGCAGACGGAGTAGGAACAACACCCCGGTGCATTACAAGGTTATCTACTTTCCGCGGAAAATTTCGTAGTGATACTGCAAGGTATGCAGCAGCAGAGCAGGTGGGCTTCCCTCCCCTGTGGTCTGTGGACCACCCTGTATTTTGACACACCTTGATGCATGTTTAAAATACAACCTGCTTCTCTGTAACTGAGTTCAACGAGTGTTGAAAATAACGTCCCTTCCAGTAGACATATTTTTCGTAAAAGGTACATATTTTATTTACAGTTTTGTTCGTCTTTTTATTTTCAGAGACATTATTCGCCAAAATGCCTCCTTACGAGGCTGTTATATCAGGGATTGGGGGAGCATTTCCTCAGAGCGATAGTGTTGAAGATTTCTTTAAAAACCTTGTAGAAGGCAAAAATCTATCTTCTGTGGATGATCAACGTTGGAAACCAGGTGATTCTGCTCAATACATCCCACTTGAGTTAAACTTAGCATTTAGTTGTTATGGAATATAAATAATCCCTTACTCTCACTCTGTAGGTCTACTAGGAACATCTCCACACGTGGCCAAGATCAGCAATGTACACAGATTTGACAACAACTTGTTCAAAGTTCACAAGCGCCTCGCACAACTCATGGACCCTCTAGCACGCCTCATGATGGAGAGGTCGATGGAGGCTGTCATCGATGCAGGTTGGCAGTGTTCTTCTCCGTTCTCCCGACTCCCGATCTACCTTCATCTTTTTGTTTCCTTTAATAACTGTCCCATCTGCTTCAGGCCTTGCCCCACAAGACCTCGAGAACACATATACGAGTGTCTACATGACCACAACTGTATCGGAGTCTGAGTCCAGAACCACGTCACTCTTGCATGGAAAGAAGAACGCAGGTTACGCCATTATGGCTGGAAGCAAGACCATGATGTCCAACCGAATCTCTTACTGCCTCAACCTCAACGGTGAGTAAAGCAATGAGGCTTCAGCGCGACGTCGTCGTGGCGTACACGGAGTTAATCACCCCCGCATTCTGCAGGACCGAGCGTGACTCTGGACGGCGATTGGACGGTGGCCCTGGTGGCGTTGCAGCGGGCAGCTCGCTCCATCGAGAGCGGCGAGAGTGAATTCGCCCTCATCGGAGCGGCCAACACCTGCCTCTTCCCCGAACTCAACAAGATATACGAAAACCTTGGAGTGCTGTCTGCGGACGGCCACTGTCGCGCCCTGAGCTCCACTGGTAAGTCGCGTCCCCACCAGATACGACTGTCTTTCAACTGGGCCAATGTTTTGACGGCGATTGTGGTCCACAGGCACCGGATGCTTCCGCTCCGAGGGAGCCGTCGTCTTCCTGCTGCAGCGCGCTGACCTGGCCAACAGGGTGTACGCGAAGATCAGCGGGGTGCACGACCTGTGCATAGGGACGCGGTCACGTTTCCTGGGCGTGGACGCTCTGTCCCTGAGGCCAGTCATGGAGGACCTCTACCGCTCGCAGGGCATCGACGTCAAGGACGTCAAGATGCTTACCACCGACGGTAATGCCATCCCGGTGAGTGTGTAGTAAAGGTCGGAAAGAGGGCCGGACCAGGAGGTGCGCTGGCAGGCGTTGTTTGACTCACGTTTTAATAATTACATCGCAGGAGATCGAGCGGGACGAGATGGAGTCCTCAGCGGCGGTGCTGTGTCGGGATCGCGTGGGGCTGCCCGTGTCCACGCCCAAGGTCGTGGTGGGTCACGGGGACGCGGTGGGCGCTCTCGTCAGCATCATACACTCCATTGCCGCCATGGAGAAGGGCGTAGTCTCGCCCGTGACAAACTACGTCCAGCCGGCCGACGGCGCCAAATCCCTCCGGGACGGCCGCCTGCACGTCGTCACCGAACCTCAGCCCCTCGACTTGGACGCCAAATCCGTGATGGCCGTCAACACCCTGGGTTACTCGGGCTGCATCGCTCACGCCCTCTTCCGGCCCAACGCTAAGGTCAAGCAGCCCGTGTCGCAGCAGGACAAGGAGTTCCCCAGGCTGGTCGTGGTCTCGGGCAGGACGGAGAGTGACGCCGTGGAGGCCATCAACCAGATCATCGACAAGCCGTTCGACCCCGAGTTCCTCCGCCTGACCCAGCAAGCCTTCTACAAGCCCATCAATGGCTACACTAGCCGCGCAGCCGCCATCATCCCGTCGGACGAGCCCGGCATGCGCCCGATCGTGTCGAGCAAGGAAGTGGACAAGAAGGACCGGCCCGTGTGGTTCGTGTACTCGGGCATGGGCAGCCAGTGGGCCGGCATGGGCAAGGGCCTCCTCAAGGTCCCCGTCTTTGCTGAGACCATCGACCGTCTGCAGCCCATCTTGGAGCCAGAGGGCATCGACCTCCGGGAAACCCTGACTACAGAAGACAACGAGCTGTTCGAGAACATCGTGTACTCCTTTATCAGCATCGCCGCTACCCAGGTAAGCGATCCTGGCCACCCGCACACCACTCTGTTCACGCGTACAGCTACGACCTCTCTGACCTCCCGGCACCTCTGCTGCAGATCGGCCTGACCAACGTGATGAGGAGCTTGGGCGTGGAGCCGGACGGCATGATCGGGCACTCCACCGGGGAGCTGGGCTGTGCGTACGGCGACGGCTGCCTCAGCGAGGAGGAGACGCTGCTCGCGGCCTACTCTCGGGGGAAGGCCTCTTTGGCCGTCAAGCTGGTCAAGGGCATGATGGCCTCCATCGGTAAGTTCCGCGCGGCGCTGCGTGTGCCACGGACCACGTCGCCTCAGAGGCTCTAGCTAACTTCTGCTCTCGTGTGCAGGATACGGATGGGAGGAGGCGGAGAAAAACCTGCCTCCAGGGGTGGACGTAGCCTGTCACAACTCAGCCGATAACAGCACTGTCTCCGGACCCACCGACGCCATCAACGAGTTCGTGGAGGCACTCAAAGAGAAGAACGTGTTCGCGCGCACGGTCAACGTGTCCAACATCGCTTTCCACAGTCGCTACGTGAAACCCGCTGGCTCCATCCTCCTCGACTACCTGAAGAAGGTGAGCCCCGACTGGTGCTCTGAGGGTAAGAACTGCACTTGAAAGCTCGCTTTGACACGCCCGGGTGCTTCACAGACCATCAAGAACCCCAAGAAGCGGTCGTCGCGCTGGGTAGCGACGTCGATCAAGCCCGGCGACGAGAACGACCCCGCGCTAGAGTACGCCGGCCCGGAATTCTTCACCAACAACCTCTTGAGCCCCGTGCGCTTCGAGGAGGCCATGCTGAGCGTGCCCGCCGACGCCGTGGTGATCGAGCTGGCGCCCCACGGCCTGATGCAGCCCCTCATCCGGCGGGGGCTGCCCGAGGGCGCCGTCAGCATCTCGCTCACCAGGCGGGGACACCGGGACGGCATGCGCTTCCTGCTAGAGAACGTGGGCAAGTAAGTGTTGAGTTTGGCGGGGCAGGCCGACGCGATGACGAGTGTCATATACAACGGTCTCGGCACTGTACGGCCTTTCGCTCCGCAGGGTCTTCATGGAGTGCGTGCCGCTCAAGCCGTGGGTGCTGGCGCCAGAGGTGTCGCTGCCGGTGTCGCGAGGGACCGCCTGCCTGAACAGCCTCGCCTCCTGGGACCACCGGGAGGAGTGGCCCCTCGTCATCAACACGAGGGTGAGAGATGGATACAAAACAGCAGGTGTCACAACTCGTCACGCCTATGCTTGACTCTGCGTGTCCCTATCCGTTGCACGTAGCATCGAGCTGGCCTGCGCCTGCGTGGTTGGTGGCGCCCACAGAGTCGAGCATAGGCAACAGGAAATTCACGGATGACGGACGTAGGTCAGGGGTCTCGGAGAGATCAGAGTCTGCTCTCAGCAGGCAGCGCGCGGGCCGCTCGGGTGTGGCACCTCTTCGCGCGTACCAGCTCGTGCTCTCGCACACCGCACCAGCTCCATCTCCCACCCACCGGGCCACAGTGGCCCGCGCGCGAGCCGCGCGTCTGAGAACCCTGACGTAGCTTGTTACACACTTGGTACTGTACCTAGTACAAACAGAATATTATTAGGAGTTTACAGTTTGTATTGCATTTGCTGTGCAGAGTCAGGTGAGCCGGCCGCGCTACGTGAACCTCTACGCGGAGACCACCGCCTGCATCAGACAGAGCGGCAGGCGCTGCGCCGCGCCTTCCACCTTCTTGGTGAGAAAACAAGTGCAAGTCTCATTCTCAGTTCATTAACACAACTCGCCCTAATGGCTCATGCCATCCATTTCTCTCTCAACTTTTCAGGAGATTGTGTGGAGGGAGATCGCGGACGGCAAACCACTTACCAGTTGTCCGGTCATCTTCGAGAACCTGGAGTTCAGAAATCCCGTTGAAATGTCCGGAACAGGTGAGTTTCAATCATCTTGCTGGACGCGTCTAGCCCAACCGGCTCGTATTTACGCCATGTGGTTACAGATGACACGATGCTGGTGCTGCAGCTTCAGCGAGAGACAGGAAACTTCGAAATTGTAATCTCAGATTACGAGTGCACGGCATGGGATGTCGTTTGCGTTATGAAGGGAAAAATATCCGTCCCGGACCCCACCGAGCTGGTGGGCATGGCCAGCGCCCACTCCAACGAAAAGGAGGGTGTCGTTCTGGATGGAGACGCTGTCTACTCCGAACTGCAGGACAAGGGCCTCAAGTACGACGACGCTCTGAAAACTTTGCGCCGCGTTGCTGTAAACGAAACAGGTAAGAAAACCAACCCACAATATAGCGTTTGTAATCTTACTTTCAATTTTCTAGAAACCTTCGCTAACTTATTTGACACGATATTTTATCCTAGACCTGACTGCTCAGTGCGAATGGCAAGGAAAGTGGCACGTGCTCATAGACTCCATGCTCCAGCTGTCACTACTCAAACATAACTCGGGCTCCGTCTTCTGTGGCAAGATTAGAAAGATGACGATTGCACCTCAAGAGATGCGCGCTCTCAGTAGCGGTGAGAACTCGACCAGCCCCGCCGAGTGGTGTTTCCGTTAGCGTTATTCACTTATTCTCCCCCATCTCCGCAGCCCTGCCGCTCCGCTACCTCGTGGACCGGCGCGTCATCGCCGCACCTGGCATCAATATTGAAGGGTACCGCCGCGCCGAGGGCAAGAACAGCTCCGCCGTGACTTCCCTCGCCCTGGATGTGCATCCGCTCAAGCTGCCGACCAAGCAGGTGTGTGAACTCTGCCTTCCATTGCTTATTGATTGGCCCACCTGTAAACCTCGGCCCCAAGCTCATAATGCAATTCTATAGTTTCAGGAGGACGAGGACTTCCTCCAGAGCGTCGCCTTGCTCCGAGTGCAGAACAGCGACTCGGCTGAGGACATCAGTATTATCGTCCTCGAGGCCGAGCAGGAGCCCGTCGCAGCGACACTGCAGAGGATGATCCGCGAAGCGGTGGGCACCCATGCCACGGTGCGCAAGGTGCTCGTCGAGCCCGAGAAGGACATCCCCGCGGAGGTGCGCGGCGCCCTGCTTTTGGTGACCAACTTCCGCACCGGCCAGGCTGGGCGCGTCCTCGCACACCTAGCGACGAGTCCTTCGCCGCGCGTGAACCTGGCCAGCGCCATGGTGTTGCGCTGCGGAGCACGGGGTGGCAACGATGGCTTCATTCAGCTGGCGTCCAACGTGAGCACCAGCGGGTCGCTCTCTCTCCTCGTCCCGGTATGTGTTCATGGTAGTCTGACGGTTACCGACCACGGCCAGCGCCACCGCTGTCGCCACTCAACGTCACTTACGTCACGGGCCATGTTGTCTTCTAGGATAGAGCCAGTGCGAACCACGCCATGCACTTCGTGCACGTGAAGACGGATGAGGCGGTGCCTTCAGATGTTCAGGTGCCCGTCGGCAGCGAGGTGATCCTGGTGTGGCGTGGCCTCCCCAGAGAAGGCATATTTGGCGCAGTGGCCGCCGCTCGTGGAAAACCATACGGCGCCAAAGTCAGAATTGTTATTATCCTGGACGAGGACGCGCCAGAATTCTCTCCAAGCAAAGAGCCGTACTGTGATCGTCTCCGTCTTTCGCTCATAGTGAACATCCTTCAAGATGGCCGGTGGTGCGAGCTGTCACTTTCTAAGCTTAACGAAATTCCAGCTATACCTACAAGGTGTGTTTATAATCACCGGTCTACTGCCATCAGCACCCTCGATTTCTTTGTGATTAAGCCTCGGATTTAACCAAACCCATAACTTTATGTTGCTTAGGGTACAGGGCTACGAGGCGCTCGCCATCGGGTTGAACCCTGGAGACTTGTACGAGGCCGCTCCAGTAAGTTTATCAGCCATAGCCATAAATCGCATCATTTGAATGTGGTACAACGGTTCACCTTCATGTAACCCACTTAACTGTCTCCTCCAGCCTACCCTTGGACCGTATGACTTCTGCGGTCTCAAGGACGGCTCACGTTTCATTGGCGTGGGCACCGCCGCTGACAGCGCCGCGGTCACGCCCGACGACATCCTGCGCTGGGTGGTGCCGGCCGCCTGGAGCGACCAGGAGGCGGCCACCGTGCCGATGGCCTACGCAGTGGTACGTCCTACCCCGACTCTCACTTAGCCCCGCTCTGCTCGCACGTTCTCACCCCACCATGCCATCTCACAGGCCTACCACATACTCACGGTGCTGGCTCCGGTGCGCCCCGGCCAGAGGGTGCTCGTCGTGAGCGGCATCTCGCCCGTGAGCCAGGCCTGCATACGGGTAGCTGGACAAATGGGCTGCACCGTGGTGGCCACGGCCAACAGCGAGCAGCAGCGCCAGCTGGTCATGGCCCTCAACCCCGAGCTGCCGCCTGAGCGCGTTCTGCGCCACGACAGTAACACCCTCAAGTACTATGTGATCAAGGCGATGGGCGGCCAGCTGGTTGACCTGGCCCTAGTACCAGATGCGAAGCTCTGCGACTCGGTCCTCCCATTGCTGGCTCTCAATGGCTCCCTTTTCACATTGTCCAAGAGGAACGTCCTGTCGCATCGCGTCGGCATGCGCGTATTTATCGATTCCACAAACATGTTCGGTGCCGGACCAGATTGTCTCCTTACAACGTCGCCACGTGACAAGAAACTGGTCCAAGCCGCTCTCCAAGAGGGCATCACGTCGGGCTCCGTGCGACCGCTCGCTTCTCGCGTGGTTGACAGCGTGACGGCTGTTGACATGGCGTAAGTCAAGATCCTTTGCTCATGAATTTGAACCCCGTCAGACCTTCTGATTATGTTGTTCTGGTCGCGCAGTGCCGTACAGGGGCCCGTAAAGCAGCTGCTGGTCACCAAGGAGGCGGGCACCTCGGCGCGCCGCGCTAACGGCCCCACCAACGGCAACCGCACTTCGGGCGTGGCTTTCGCCGTGGCTGGCGGTCGCGCCGACTCCTTGGTGACCTTGGCTCGCGCGGCGGCCGCCAAGGGCTCCACCATGGTGCTGGCCGCCAGCAGAGAGTGCAGCTCGGGCGGCGTCCCGCCCAGGGTCAAGTTCATCCCTGCGCTGCGACAGACCAACTTCGTGCCCCTCCCCACGGGCCAGAGCGACGCCAAGCATTTCCTTGGGCTCGCTTCTAAAGCCGAGAACATCAAGGCCATCGTCATTAACCTAGAGGTGAGCTACTGGACACCAGCCCTCTCCCCATCTCCCACACCGCAGCTCTGTGTAATCGCGTGCCCTCTGACCAGGACGCCGCGGACCGCTCGCTCACCTCGCTCCTGCACGCCGTGCTGCCCACGGTGAACGGCGCGCTGCGGGGCGTGCGCCTGCTCGTGCTCACCGAGAGCCTCGCCCAGGGCACCGAGACGGTGGAGGTGTGGCGGCGCATGAAGCTGGCCGCGTGCGCCGTGGTGGGCGACCCCCGCCAGGCCGCGCACCTGCTGCCCTCGCTGCTCACCATGCACGAGCTGCCCGCCGCCGTCATCGCCTTCTCCGAAGGCTCAGGTGCGTGCCCCTCCCAGAGTGCGCTCCCCTGCGTGCCAACCCACGCGCTGACCTTTATGACCCCTCTTGCTTGTGCTGCAGACGCTCGCGTCGCGCTGGGCGCGCCCATCCACCGCCCGGTGCGCGCAGACTCGAGCGACTTCCCCCGCGCGGGCGCGGCGGGAAGGCCGTTCCTGGAGATCTCCTCGCTGGCGCCCAGGCTGCGCAGCAGGCACGCCCGCCTGGAGCCTCTGCCCCTCTTCAACGTGACGGGCCCCGTCCTGGTCCCTAGACTTGTCCGGGAGACGGCCACCAGGGTCCTGTCGCCTGTCCTCATCGCCGACGGCTCACGGCAGTCGGCAGAGAAACTCGCCGAGGTACGTGTGAGGGGAAGGGTGAGCGACTTCCGCCTGCTGATTTCGTCGGAAATAACCCTTTTATTTGTTTTACTTGCGTTTTAGGAAATTTTGAGGCTGCAGCCTCGTGGACCTTGGGCGATGATTGGTGACGCAGAAAACGTAGAGCTTGTCGGGAAAACCGCTAGGCTGGTGGAGCAGCGGGCGGGCTACCCCGACTGGCGGGAGGTGATGCACCTGGCAGTGCTCGAGAGCGGTGCCAAAGACATCTTCCGCTGCCCCGAACTGGAAGGCCTGGTCGGCCCCGTCCACTTCATCAAGCAGGCCGAAGGCAGCGAGCGGAAATCGGTTACCCTGGTAAGTGACATGAAGTGTACTTTCACCAACGATACCTGTAGAGTTCTGACCGCGAACCTGCCTTCTTATTTCTCAGAATGAAAAGAAAATGCGTCACTTTGTGAGCGGACCAAACGACATCGCAGCAATTCTTAACGACAGCTTACTATCACCACTGTCTAAGATCATATCATGTTAGTCCAAACATATTCTACGTTTCCAGCAGAAGAAAATAAAACTTGGCCATTGTTGTAGTATGTTAAAAACCCACGATTTTGTATTTTTGGAGGTTGCTGATTTATCTCTACTATTTGTTGTGTATTGCCTCAGAAATTGTGGTGGGGCGCTCGTAGAGCTACCAGTTAAAGATAATTTCAATGGGTGGTTTCCGTGAAGGGAAGTACAAACTCAATATTAATTCACACCTGTTCAACGGGTAATTAGGCTACTCCGAAACTAAGTGCAACAGTTGATCTGTTTTTGTCCCAATTCGGAACAGCATTATTGGAATAGACTATAGTTTCCATTTTGATTCCACAAACCTTCCCACCCCCTATGGAGATAGGAGGGGCGGGCGCAGCATGGTCCAGACGAAGGCGTTGGGTCCGCCGGAGATACTCCGCTGGGCGAGGGGCCTTGCGTAATCCGCTGTGCTTCCGACAGAGGGCGACAGAGCACCCTCCGTGTGAAAATGTTCACCTTCGAGCCTTTGTTCGTCCATACGAGCCAGGGAGGTCGAACGCGATCAGGATTCTTTTCTATGGGGCGACTCTGGACATATCAGGACAACACGCCCTCTTCTGAAGATTTTTCCTGTATGTTTTGCCATCTGAATGTGGCCACTACTTGGTAACAAAAGTTTCTCACTTTTGAGGGGAAGAATTGTTTGAATGCCTGCATTACATTGGGCCTCAAATGTTGTAAATTTTAACATTTCTTTTTATATTTGATAAATGTTTTGTCTATTTCTTATATTCTATCATTAGGATCAAAGTTTGCAAACCATTGCGGTGGTTATAAACTCGAGCACTTTTGCGAAAAGAAAAAAAAAATGGGTCAACAGTGCAAACCCACAAGGGCTCTGTAAACTAGTAATCGGTTATGTCGACGCTACGTAACTGCACAGAAGCATTGTGATGACCCATAATCCCGTTTCCCTCGGTGATGGCATGAGACGAGGGGTGATGGAGACCTGCGCGATGCAGCGGGGTGCGTTGCGGCCTGCGGCCAGGGTAGGTGGGCCGAAAGACCGTCGTTCTTTCCTCTGCGCCTGCCGTATCCCCGGGTTGGCAAGAGGGCCGGGCGGACCTCGTAGGAAGGGATGGGAGCGCGGAGGTGGAGCAACTATCTTAATGTTTTCTCCCCCTCCCCTTCCCCCGCCGCCGCCGTGAGGCATTGTGTCGGCCGTTGTGCCCCCCCTCCCCCAATCCTCCCCTACCCACTGCCCGCACGAGCCGGACGCTGCTCAGAGGCAGCCTCTGTCCTCTCTTCCTGCCTGGGCGCGCCAGAGCGGAGCACTGTTGCCAATCCCCTCCAGGTTGTGGAGCCTAAAGTTTCCTTTTCTTCGTGGACCAAAGAGTTTGGCTTTGGCTCTACGTTCCCCCCCTGGGCCGACCCGCTTACGCGATTCAAACTGGGGAATGGGTCCAGCAGAGAGGAAGGAGAGTGGGATCGTGAACTAACAGGCCTGGCCTCAATGCACTAGCCGTCACCGCACTGGCCTGCCCGTCCGTGGCTTCGCTGCACACACAGAGGCGCTCGGATCCACCTCGAATTGAAACGTGATGCTACTTGGTCCGTAGCACGACTCTGTAACGCCCGTTACGGTAACGTTAACAGCCCCCTGGAGGGTAGGTGTGTCTGGCCGGGGGGCAGCGTGGGCAGGCGGGGAGGCGGTGGGGGCGGGGGGCGAGGCAACAGAGGAAGGACGTTGCCGGAAATTGCGCGGGGAGCTCGCTAGACCATCCAAGGAGACGGGCGGGCAGCCGGGAGGCAAGCCAGAGGACAGGCCACAGGGCAGCAGGGTGGGAAGCCGGCAGAAAACACGGGGCAGCTGGGAGGGAAGCCGGGGCAGAGCTCAGCGGACGGGACAGACAACGCCAGTTCTAGGGTGCCCGACTGGAGAAGCGACGACTCTTTTCCACCGGAGATCAGAGGCCGGGGCCGCCCGCACTGCTGACAGTCCGAGCCTCTCTCCGAACCCCGACCACTTAAAGCTGGTATTTCATCCTTTTGCGAAACAGCTAAATCTCTTTCCTGTCGAACGCGTTATTAAATTTAGCGAAGTTATGTCTACGTGTAGAAATCTCGTAAGTCGGGGTTGATATAATTAGTAAATTTTTAAAATATTAAAATTTAAACTTTAGATTTGAATTGTCCTACTACTATTATGAACGTTTGGTTGTTCTTCCTCTGTGTTGTTTTCATTACAACGATGAGAAGAAGACTTAGCCCTCTTCTCCGGACAGGCACAAAGGAATGTTCTGAAGTAGACTGAGCAGGTTTAAATAAATTTCGCTGTCGTTGCGTGGATGTTCTGTGGTACGTTTGCGGTGTTCTGGTTGTGATACGGTTACGCCCCTTAGTGCGCTCTGCTGTCGCAGGAGGATATGGATTCAGATACGTATAGCGAGCGGAGGGGGCGCGGCTCCGCGCTTTGCAGTGAGAGGGGCGTTTTGTATAAGTGGCTTTATTTCGCCAAGAACTCCGCCGAGGACGCAAACAGCCTTACTCGTGCGCGCTTGCGCTCGGCCAGGCCGGGCAGGACGGGAAAGTGGAAGAGGCGAGGCGCGAGGCTCGGGCGGGGCCGGGGCGGGGGAGGATGGTTCAAGTAGAATTACAGTCGTATATTTCTCAACAAACAAAAGCGTACAGAGGTAATGGGGGTCCTGGCCTGGGCCGGCCGGGGTAGGTCCGACTGGGGAGGCGCAACGAATCATGAAAGGAAAGGGGGTGGAGGTGGGGAGAGAGAGAGAGAGGGCGAGAGAGAGAGAGAGAGATTGAAGGGGGAGGGAGAGGGACGGAGAGAGTTGTATTGAAACAGGCAGACAGAGACCGAGGTCTCTCCGCGTGTTTTCACCAACACCAGGATGCTCTGCTAGACGCGTGGCACGTCGCCACGTCGGGGCGAGTGAGTCATAGCACAGTGCTTCGTAGGTTTGCATCGTGCAGACCTCTGCGTTTTTTGAATTAGACTTCTAGCACTCTTACCTGATATGTACTTTGCTGTAGCAATCACATTGTAGTTGGCCATATGATTCTTAGTTGTAAGCAATTACACTGTTATTCGATTCACGTGACGTATCATTCTTTTACCATAGGGAAAACTGTCACAGTCTTTTCAATCCTATTGTCACATTACATTAAATGTGGCTGTAGAATTTACTATGCTGAACCTGGTCGTTTCATGTCGATACGAATGTATCGTCATGTATTAAACAGTTTGGAAGTTTCTACATTCAAACGAATTTGACGTCACATAGATGGACTAAACAGTGTATTTCGAGCTCTATTTAAAGAGCTTGACGTCAATATTAAGAGCGAACGGCGCAGCAACCCTGTATCTTTGCGCAACCTCGGTGAAACAATGTATCTCCATTTTAGGGTGATTTTCAACACTATACAACTGAGGAATATTTTATTTTATCATAATGTATACTGTTAAATAAAATATCCCTTGTTTTGTGATGATCTCTCTGTTAAATTTTCGTGCTACCCGCATATTAAACGGATGTATTTGGAAAACTGAAAATTTACAAAAAATAGTATTTATTGGGTCAAGGGGTGAGTTGTGAGTTTTTGTAAGAAATCAACTGACATTGCACTGACATGCAGTGGTCGTCGTCTTGCGTTTACTTTAGTTTTATGTAGTCGCAGTTTTATTCTGATCATTTTTGACAAGGTTTTCTTATTACTTTATTGAAGGCAAGTACTAAGCATTGGGTTTTGTCTTCATGCGAATGAGCAAAATTTACTATGTTTAAAAAGTAAATGTAGTTCCGTAAGTGGAAAGTGTGTCCGTTTTTTATTATAATCATTCGTCAAATTGCGGGAGCTCGGCGCCTGCAAGACTCAGGGTAGGCCACCCTGCCCCCGGAGTGCACGTGTGCAATGCAGGCAAGCTGTTGCCTACCTATCAGGCGCTATGAGAGCTTGCAGATGCTAGCAGCGTCAAGCGCGCACTGCGCCGCGCCGCACACCCAGTGCCCAAAGCCGATAAAAATATGACATTGCAGTTCGAAAGCACTAATTGAGCACTAAAAGATAAGAGGGAGCACAAATTTCAATCGGCCATGGGTGGTGCCAACTTCACGGAGGTTGCATAGGCTGTGTTGGCAATTGTTGCATCTTGCATCTATCCTGTGCTCCCCAATACGAGGAACAGGATGTGGGTACAATTCGCCCGGCCGATTTGTACAGGGGTGTCGACAGGGGGGTATACATTGCCCCGATTTGTACCGCCTTTGCTGCCAGATAGCCCCCAACACACGCCAGAGGTTTTCATTTTATGTGTTAGCCAACTAACGAGCGTACGCCCACATTCTCGCATCGCATACTCGCGCAGTTTGAAGCCCCCAGGCCAGGCAAGGTGCGGCCCCACCCTCGCCCATCGGGGCCGTGCGCTCGCCCTCGGCGTTGTCCTGGACCTGGCGCGGAGGGCTCCTCGTAAGCCCGTCCCGACGGGCGTGGGCGTGTCCAACGACGTCGTAGTCGCCAGACGGCACCGGCGGCGCCTGTCCTGGACGGGCTCGGCCCGGCCCGGCCCCGCCTCTAAGTAGCCTCGTTGGCCGGGCCACGGGCTCCGTCCCCTCTCTGCGAGCCAAACGGTTACTCCCGGCCCGGCCCGCTCGACCTTGGACCCGGTGGTGCGGCGGGGCTTTGGTGATCGTGGTCACCGCAGCACTGTCGGGCGAGCCAGAGGGTGGCACCCGGGCAGCAGCGGCGGAGCTCACCTGCCCGCCCGTTAGCGATACCTCTTTTGGCCCCTTTCGCGTAAAACTCCAGACACGTCCTTCCCCTCTTGCTCTACCCTCTACCCACCGGCCCAACGACGGCCACTTGGAGAGTAAGTCCCACAGCGTTTTCAAAAAAAAGGTATATATCTTGACTCGGGTGACTGATCTCAAGACAGCGACCACGGCGCATGAGTGGGAAAGAAGCGGGCGAGTCTAAGCGGGCCGGGCTCGGGCCGGGTCGGGTCGGGCCGCCACCAGCGAAGAGCGAAGGGTCGGGGAAAGTTTTCGCAACTCCGTGGTCCATTCATCTTAGTAGTGGAGCCTCCACATCATGCTCAGTCGTCACCCCTCCTCCCTCCCCCGCTTTCCCCCTTTTCCTGCCCGCTTCCTCCTCTTCACCCCCGACGGCGAGGCGGAGCCCTCCACATTACCTCAACGCACGTAAGCCCGCTCCCTTCTTCCTTTTAGCCGCACCCGCCCTCTCCTCCTTTTCCTTCCTCTCTCTCTTTTCTCTCCCGGCAAGCGACTCGTCTCCGTCCGCGCGTTGTCGATCTCATTACACAAAAACGTCCCGAGGCGAGGCAAGGCAAGGCGAGGCAGGGCCCAGGCCCGCCGACGCCGCCTCAGCAGCCCCCGCAGCCCCCGCAGCCCCCGCCCGCTCGGCGAATGTGCTCGGTGGGCTCCGGGCTGGGTTTGGCCCTAGTTTGGACTGATGAGGCTGGCGTGGAAAAGGGAAAGGGGGCGTCTGCGGCAGCGTTATTGTGCGACCGCGCTGAGGATACCGCGGAGTCCGCGTGGAGCCGCCGTAGGGCTGGGCGCGGGGCGGACGGGGGTTCAAACACCCGCCTTTACTTCCGCCCCTCATTGCCTCCTGAGAGCCGCACCAGGGGCCTGGGCCGAGAGCCTGGGCCGCCCCCGCCTCGCTGGGTCGGGCCGCTAACATGACTCGCGGAAAGGCGGACAGCGCTCGTTCTCCAGCGGTTAACACACACTTTTCCAAAGCGCGCCCCTCCACCCCAACCCCCTCACCGCCACCCCCTCCCCCACGTGGACACGTGACTGTGGATGTGTGCCAGGGGCTGCCGGGGCTGCCAGGGACTGCCAGGGGCACGCACGGGGAGGGGGAAGCCGAAGAGCGCGAGAGTTGACGGAGCGAGAGGGAGAGGGGGAGGGGGAGAGAGAGAGAGAGAGAGGGGGGAAAGAAGGGCGGCTGCGGGCGCGAGAGAGAGAAGGAGCGGCTGTAGGAGTGGGATGCTGGGGGCGTGGAGCGGCGCGGAGCGGCGTGGAGGCGGGGCGAGCGAGAGAGACAGACGCGATGCCGCGCGCTCGATAACGACGGGGGAGGGGGTGGATGCTGGGGGCGCCGCGCAGCGCCGCGCAGAGAGCGCCGGGGCCCCTCTCTCTCTCAGCCTCGCCAGTCCACGGTCGGCCTCCGACCCACTCCGCGCCGCGTGGCCCCACAGCGCAGCCCGCGCAGCCCGCGCAGCCCCCCCACACACAGACGCACGCCGCGCCGCACCGCGGTGAGCCGAGCCGAGCCGGGCCGAGCCGAGCCGTGGCGTGCCGAGCCGAGCCGAGCGCAAGTCGAACCAAACCGAGCCGTGCCGAGCCGGGCCGGGCCGCACCGGAGTGGTGCTATAGTGTTTGTGTTCGCGAGTATTGAGTGTGCCGCGTGTGCCAATAGTGCGAGAAACTGCAAATAGTGAGTGAATGTTTGCGCTGATCCGTCGTTCGATCAGGGAATGACAGCATCGAATGACCACGGTGCACCAGGAGGGAGACGATGAAACGGGAATTGCAACAAGGAGTTATTCACAGGTACGCGGAAGCAGCGTAGCTTTGAAATAAAAAATACAGTGTGATAACTGAGCGAGCACCTTTTGATTTATGCTTTGCTGAACCTTGTTTATCGCCACACGTCGACTCGGCCCCCTGCTCTTGTGTTCTTGGGGTCTGAACAAACGCGAGGTGTCAGATGTCAGACGTTTCGCCGGACAGAGACAGGTTGCGCCGTGTGATGTGGGTAAAGTTCGCCCCCACCTCCATCCCTGCCAACTCCTCACCTTTCTACCCCTTTTATTCTTCTCCCTCCCTTTCACCTCTCCACCCTCCACCCCCTAGCCGCTCCACACAGAGGGGGTGCTGGAGTGCAGTTGGCTTGAATTAGACGACCGACGTCGCTCCGCGCTGCTCTGCGTCTGGAGAATGATTATCTCCGTCCTCTCCTCCAGGCAGAGGCGCGACAAAGACAGACGGCCCGAGGGTAGGGGCGGGAAGAACGGGGGAAGGGGGCGGAGGGGGGTCACACCTGGACAACAAAGGAACACCGTAGCGCGAGCGCGCCCCCGTCCTTGTCTCGTTCGCTATTGGCCGCCACGCCACGCCGAGCTGCCTCCGTTCCGTGACTCTGGGCGAAGCAAAGGAAGCAAAAGAAGAAAAAAAGGGGGGAAGGGAAAAGAAAAAAGAAAAGAAATGGCAAGCCACGTTGCTATTTCCGATATCAGGTCGGCGTGGAAGGCGGGGCGGCAGCATCAGGTGTGCAGCGGGTGGGGCGGGGCCCCGGCCGGGGCCACATGCCGATATTGTAAAGCTGTCGGGGAGGGCCGCGTGGTCCAGGGGAGCGGAGTGGTCGCACCTGAGGGCGGGGCGGGCGGGCGAGAGCAGGTGTCAGTTATAATAAGAGCGCGGGGCCGGGCCGCCGCCGCGTGTTATTGCCCCCCTCAGCTCTCGCACCCGCCGCGCCGCGGGTCAATCCAAATAAAATAAAAAGCAGCACTTACCGACTGGAGCAGGCGGCCGGAGTCACGGCGAGCTCCGACTCCATTCGATTACTCAGTCTATAGTTCAGGACCCAGAGTTTTTGATCTTTCTTTTACCTTTGGTTAAGCTGTTAGTTGTGTTTGCGTGCTCGCCGTTACAGTGGCCAGTAAATCATATGCCTCTAGTTATTCCAAAATAAATTCCCCACAATAAAGAGAGTGCGCGTGGGATAACAGCAAGGAATACTGTGTGACGAATCTGTGGAAACCTTGTCACTTCCACACTATTTTGTGTGCAACAACTCTGCACCGAGGGGGCGATCACTCTGGGGAATCATGTGTACACACCAGCCCGGGAATCAGCGGGAACCAATGAGAATCACGGCGGAATCCAACGGAAATCAATGAGAATCACGATGGGAATCAATGGGAATCATGGATTCCGGGAATCATGTGTACACTTGAATTCAGAGTTATTGCCCCCTCGCTCTGCACTATAATTTCCACTTGTCATACGCACTGTTTAGTGTGCGACTGCTGCAACACCTCATAATTGATGAATGAATGAATGAATGAATGAATGAATGAATGAATGAATGAATGAATGAATGAATGAATGAATGAATGAATGAATGAATGTGTATGAATGGTTCATACTAGCTTCAACTGTCATTAATATTTGTTAGGTACATTTTCGTTACAAATCAGACAATCAGATGCCTCGCAAAAACGTAGGAAGTATCCAACAAAATGTCAATCCTAGCCAGTGCCCTGCAGTAGCCCTGCTCATGTTTGTTTTGTTTTGTTTTTTTGTTTGTTTGTTTTAACGTACATGTTTTGGGTATCGATTTGGGTGTCAAGCCTAGGTATTTGTGCTCAATGCGCGCGTCGCAGTGTAACGGTGTTTCGTGAGATATTGCGAAGCCTGTTACGCGAGACGTTGGTCTCCTGCACCTTCAGCTAGTGTAGGGTACTC